CTACTTGAATTAAATAAAATAAAACGACTTCTTCAAGTATAGTTCAATACAATTATAACAGTTACAAAATATGTAGAGAAGTATGTTTCGACAAATATTAAATTTGGTTTCTATCCCAACAATTCCAATAACAATAAAGAAAATTACATACAAATAAATTAAATAAAAAAACGACTTCTTGAAATACTTCATGTCCTTCATAACACAAATAATTGTCCCTAAAATGTTAAAGTTGAGTACAAACAACCATCACTAATAAATACTGCTAGATTTCCATATTGTCAGAAACTTCATGTCAGTCGAACAAGCTGGTTGTTAAAAATGAAATTTGTTGGAATATATTTTGTTAGTTGTGTTTTGTGGAAGGAAATTCTTACTATACGTTCAAAAATTAGCCTAGATAAACCTGGATCAACAAATTACTTTGATGGGCTTGTGAAGTATCTACAAAACGAATCTAAACTGCATCAGGTTGTGTTTATTCTTGAAGATGATTACGACAATATAGACCCAATGATGAAATCACTGATTGAAGAAGTCAATAAAAATTTTCCTTCATTCACATTCAGTAGTAATGAAGTAGCATTTTGGATGGAAAGGTACGCTCAACAAAAATTATATGATGCGAGTTTTGAAGTAAAAGTATTTCATCAGAAAATAAATTCAGTTTGAATAATTTACATCTGCTCTAATTTGATATAAATAAAATTTTGCATTGTCCACAAATGTTGATAATTAATTCTTGTAAACATAATTAACAATCTAATTATACTTTTACGTCAAGAATCACCAAAGAAATAGACGCAGTTATTACAATTACAAACAAGTAATAATTGCCTTATTTAAAATACCATACAAAAAGCGGATGATTATTTCCCCTTAATTATTTTCTAGAAATAACTTCGAATACCAGAAACAGCTTAGAAGAACAACTTTGTTTGTTTTTCAATTAACGAATTATTTTTCAAACGAAACAATTTATAAAAATCTACGCATCATAAATGTAAGGACCCAATTATCACTACCGAGATGTTTGGTCATGAATTCCTTTAACTTTAGTACTGCGTTTATCAAGGATACTTTAAACTATTTCTGGAATCGAAAATATTTGGATTTTACTATTATGACCTACAATACTAAACGCAAAATGACTCCTTTCTTGAATCAGATGAACGGATTTACTAAAAAAAATACTGTACAAAGGGTATCATCTGATATAGAATGGTTTCCAAATAAAATAGTCAATCTAAATGGACACAGAATGAACTTTACTTTTAATTGTATATTGGATACTGATGATAACCGGCAAAAGAAGATGGGCAAAAAAATTACAGAAATTATTGCTCAAACTATGAATTCTGAACTTATACATCAAATTATATATTTCAGTAGATTAGAATTAGTTCTTAAAGTTGAAGAATGTTTTGGATTTAAACTTCCTATTTTCGCTAATTCCGAAACAATACGATATCTAAAAATTGACAGTTTTAAAGCTGTAATTCCAAAGCTAAATAAATACGGAAAAGGATTAGAGTTTTCATCAGAACATTTTCACGTGATCTTAGGAACAGTTAGTATGATTGTCATTATTCGACTCCTAGCTATCCTTATGAAGTTCAGAAGGGTTACTTGGCAATCTTTGAACATCAGTCAAATCATAATGGGATTGCCTGCAAATCACGAACCAAATAAATTGATAGAAAGAATTGTTTTTGGCTCTCTGTTAATTACATGCATTGTTTACACTGGATACTTTTATTCTGTCATTTTGGACATCAGTCTACAATCAGAACCTGAGATTTCAACTTTGGAGCAACTCGTAAATTCGACTTTGACGCCAGTGTTAGGAAATGTGCATAATGTAAATTTAAGATTAAATTCTAATCCTATTGTTAGTAAACTAACCAACAATAGCTTTAAATATTCATTTCTGCGTACTCCGTATGATTGCTTAGAATATTTAGCTGCTCATAAAAATATCAGCTGCATTCTTCCTAATGCTGAATATTACGTTAATACATATTCAGATGCATTGGAATTAAATGTAAAAATAATGCCCGAAGTTGTTGCCTATTATTCTACTAGCTTGGCGGGAAGAGATAACTCACCTTTCCATGATCGTTACAGTGAAATAATTTTAAGAGCCACTGAGTCTGGATTGCTTAAGGAATATTTTACATCTAATGTTGTGCCTCAGAATATTTCGCCACCGGAAGAAATTAGTAGTAAAAAACTTTTCTTTATACTATCTCATGTATTAGGCATTGGATATTCTCTTTCTCTAATTGTATTTCTACTTGAAATATTTGCAGCAAAATTGAGAAAGAAAACGCAAAATTTTTATCGAAGGTTTAGATTTGGATATTAATTTGATACTTATCTTGAGTGTATGAGATAAAATAATAATAAAACAATTAAGAAAATTAAGTTTGTTACAGTTTAAAGCGATATATTTGGCTTTAATTAATTACAAGCAAAATGTAATGAAATAATGTTTGACGATTCAAGAATAACTGTTGAATTAAGTTAATTGTATTTTATTAGAATAAGAATTTGATTATATTGTAATGTACCTGTAAAAATTTGTGCGATCTCGAAGAAAAACAAGTTATGATGATGGTCTCAAAAATTGTATTCGCGCGCCCAATCGTATACAATTTCACGCGCTCGTCAGTAGGCGTAAAACTTTATAGGAATATAATAAATATTCTCTCACTGTTTCACGCTCGTAAGCGATATTTTACTTTTGCGAGCATGGTCCAAATGCCTACACGCATCGACACGTACGTGAATTACCTTGTGCTTATATCGTACACACGTGTGGGCGTCAAAGACACAAACAAAAAAGAAGAAAAACAGGACCACGATGCGTTGCACATACATGGACTGCAAACTTACCAGATACACACAATGGGGTTAAATTGTACAGGGTGAGATAAAGTCACAGGATCTTTATTAAATTTTAACAAGAAATCGAAATTTTACCTCGTGTCGGATAAATTTCCGTTTTTGAATAACTTTTTCTGTATAATATCATCGAAAAATATAAATTAGGTTTCATTTTGTATTCATATTCGTGAATATTTGCTAAATCCATATATATGTATGTAAATCTATGTCCATTGTCCACATTTTGCATTTTTATCATTTTTGTGCTGTTTGGATCGTCTTTAAAATTTTTTTTGGAATAAATATACCTTTGGGACTTTAAATAATTTCCTGAAAGATGAAAATAACTTGACTGCCACCTTCGGAATCTTTAGTTTCAATGTTCAACAGGGTTGACACAAAAATTTAGTTTTGTTTTTTCCTTACTTTTCCCTGATTTCCAGACAAAATTTTGACTTTTTCCCTGATCCTAAAGAATATTCTGATTCACACTAAAAATAATTAAATAATTAGAAACTGCCTTTTAAAAAAAAAATTAACAATTTTAAAAATAATAGAATTTAAAAATTTTCAAATTTAAATTTTTATTGAAAATAAATGGAATTATTGCGAAGAAATTTATTAAAAAAATTTATAAATAATAGAAATTCCTGTGAAATTTTTTTTATTTATGAAAATAATTAAATGTTTGCGTAGAATTTTATCAAAATGTGTTTTAAATAATTGAATTCTTTTGGAAAGTTTTATTAAATTAGTGCATTTATAAAAATCATTATATTCAGGGAAATTTTTAAAAATAATTGAAATTTTGCCTAGAATTTTATTAAAATTTTCGAAAATAATTGAATTTTAAAGAAGAATTTGATTATTTATAAAGATAATTTCTGCAATCGTTTGTGAAATTTTTCAAAAATCTAGGCTCTTCGAAATTTCTAATTAAATTCATTAGATTTTGAAATTTTATAAAAAAAATGGAAACATTTTGAAGTTTATTTTTTTATGAAAATTGTAAACGCAATTGTAAACTTTTTTAAAATGCAATTAATTCTGAAATATTTAAGTAAAATTATTCATTAAATAAATTATAAGTCATTTTATGATAGTTCTTCAAAAATTAAGTTATTTCAAAAGAAATTATTGTCAGTGATAGAAAAAGTTGAAGGTTAGTATTAGAATTCGTGGAAGTTTAATAAATTATGAGGCAAACAAAAAGCACACCAAAATTCAAATTTATAAATTTAATTTTTTCCATTACTTTTAATACTTTTCCCTGAATTCTCTGAGCTATGGCAACCCTGTTCAAAAAACTTGAAGTAATTAAATGTCTCTTGTCAGAAAATGTCTTGAAATCAGAACTAGGTATCTATTTTTAATAAATTTGTGTTAAATTTGCTTTTTACAAAAGTAGTTGATGTAGCGACATGTTGAATTTTCAAGAATTTTATCGAGATATTACAGTGCAAAGGTTGAGTATGCACGAAAAGAAATTTTGCACCAAAATTTGACAAAAAGATTATTAAATTTTATTAAACTTGGGCTATTCGATGTTAGTAACAAAACATTAATAGAGTCACTAGTAAAATGTCACAGCGAAAAGAAAAGAATGTAATAGTAAGACAAATTTACAAAATATTCCTAATATTTTAAAGAGAATATTTCCAATATTGTAAAAAGTAATACTAAATACTCTCAATTCTGCAAATACACAACAACCATCATCATGTCTAAAAATAAAAACCTCCGTGTATGAAGTGCCTGTAAATCCAATTAAAAATAAACTAGTTTATAATGCATGAAATAAATCTGTTCATTCACTATCCCCTAACCGACTGCCACAAGATAAATATCTCCTCCTTTTCAGATCTAAAACATAACTCGAATTTGGAAAATCTCTTTGAAAAACAGCTACATACAACTAATTTTTTTTGAAAATCTACATTCGTCATAAGGATTTGAATCTCGAATCAGAAAAAAATGAACGATAATTTATTTAACAAGAATTTCAGGACACCCCGTGTGTATACATAAGCTCTTAAGGTGCCCCGTATCTAGAGTCTCCAGATGAAGGAACTATAGTGTTTTAAACACTAAGGAGCCAGTCCATTCGCGACCGCCAGCCAGGCAAGACATTCGGATCTTTGTCTGGCACACGCCTTCTATAAATAATTTACCGATCCCACGGATTGCGCTTGCGAATGTATTCGCGCTCTTTTTTTTTTTGATTTTTTAGTTTCTTACTTTTGCACCAATCGAAACAAAATCGAACTCGAGTTCTCCCTCGTCCTTATTATTCCAGGATCGAATAGTGAAGGTTGCCCTTGACATCCTTTCCAGGAGGTGGGCTCTCAACTATTATTTTTTCTCCTTCTACCTTCTAGCATCCTTTTTCTCAAAACAATCCCTATTTGAAACGAAACAAAATGGTCCATTAAAATTCCGATCCAATTTTAAATGCTTCAAAAATTTATCGATTTTTGGTTTCACTTTTCGATGCAAATAAGATTTCCCATCAAAAATCTATTTTAGCTCGAATGGGTTCAAAAACGGCTTTTGAAAATTAGATTTCTAAAGTAAAATCAGTTAATTATTTATGTTAATATTTATTCGGACCTACATGGGAAAAACACGTGAGTTACATTAGAACTACGGTTGATTTTTGCATGTTTATACTACGGGAATTTCGACCTAAGCAAAAATGACACTTGCGTCTGTTTTTTCCTAGTAAGGCAGTCCTTTCTTAAAAAAGACATGGAGTGGAAAGGTCGAATGTATCGAAAAGTATCGAAGTAAAGAATGGGCAATGAGAATGTAAAATCTTAATAGAAGGGTGTTTTTAAAATTGTTTGTACATGTGAAGGTGGCGCTGCAGTCGTATGTTATTTAAAAAGAGCGCGAATATATAAATTTTATTTTTGTTAAGAGAAAGTACTCATAATAAATCTTATTTTGCATTGTCAAAAAAAACGTCAACATTTCAAATATAAATAAGCAAATTATTAACTGAAAAAATTTGAATATTATTATTAATAAAATAATGGACTTGGACAATGGACATATAAAAACTAGCACCGTAGACGGCCGCTTGCGGCCGTCGGAGGAGCTAGTATTATAAAATAATAGTTGGTACTTTAATTGAATTTATAATAAACCAATAATTGTGACGCACTCGAAAGAAAGTAAAAGAAAAAGACGTTATGTTTGTATTAGTTTTGCCTTAATTACAAATTTTTTATAAATTAACAACTAAAAGCAGATTTTATTAATTACTTCACAAGTAATGAAGACTTCAGTGGTTTATATTGAGAGTTAATCCCCTTTGTGTATCTTCATTCAAAAAATTACAAACATAACCTGAAATCTGTTGCTTCTTAGCTACCTTTCTTCAAAGCACGTAACAATTGAAATTTTAATCGAATTTATAATAACATTTTTATAAAATCATAATTGGAATTTTAATCTAATTTATGTTAAAATTGTTATAAAATAATAATTTAAATTTTAATCGAACTTATGATAAAATTATTATAGAAATAATTGAAATTTTAACTGAATTCATTCTCTTCGTATTATTCTTATTTAATTAATTATTTATTAATTAATTTTATTAATTATTTATTAGTATTCATTCTCTAAACTTTAATTAGTAAAAAATAAAAATGTTTACTAATTAGAATTAGTAACTCACTTTTTGCTTTTGAATTAGTTAATTTGACCAATAAATAGTAATTTCTACTAATTTATTTTAGTAAACTTTATTCATTTATTATACTTTATTAGTAAACTAATTCAAAAGCAAAAAGTTAGTCACTTCAAATTTAGTATACATTTTCAATAATTCAAATTTAGAGAGAAGATAATAATTGAAATTTTATAACTGAATTTATAATTCAGTTATTATAATAATAGTTAATTGGATTGAATATATTTGCAGTAAACTAGTGACGGGAGAAGAAGAAAAAATTGTGAAATCATGAACAGAGGATATTTTTTTTTCTGATGAAAGTGGAAAATCGTGATATCAACATATGAAAAAGAGGGTTGACGTTCTTCTTTATACATAGAAGAATCCAGTTCCCGGCTTTTATCTTCGCCGGAAGTGATAATACGACATTAATACGTTGATTGTATATATGCGCCTCTACATAGTGTTTCATTGAGTTTTTCATGCAATGGTAAATTTTTTTTCTCCTCATTTTTACAGTAGACAGACACAAAGTGATTAAAACAGGTCTGCTGTCATTTTCCGCGCAGAAAACCAGACAAGTCACTCATATATATTCCTCTACTTGACTCAATATTGAGAGGGAAAAAATAAATTTTTATAAAAAAAAATATTTTTTCTTTTATTTATTTCTTTGTCTCTTTCTTTCTCAACTTGATTGACATCTTTTCGAAGTTTCTCTCTCTCTCTCTCTAAATTCTTAGAAGGGGAAAATTATTCAATCAAATGAGACAATCAGAGTTCAAGTACATTGTCCCTTTTTGCTGTCTCTATGTTATTTTTTCTTCTACTTTTTTGTCTTTTCATTTTATTTTTTACTTGAAAAAAAGTGTTTTTAAAATTATTAATTTTAAAATTAAAAAGAAACGTATTGTCCATTTTTCTTGAATTGAAAAAGAATTTCAGTTCAATTTTCAAAAAATAATTAAATATCAAAAATTGAAAAATTGAATATCTCAAAAAGTGAGAATTTTTCGAAATAATTAAATTTCGAAAATGTTTTGAAACTGAATTCTTTAAATATTTCCAAAAATTTTAATTGCTTTTAAAGTATAATAATATTTAAATATCTATTTTAAAAAATTATTAATTTATTTTTTTTTCTAAAAAATTATTAAAGTTTTGACTAATTTTATTAAAAAAAAAAATAACTGAATTTTGCAAAAATTTCAATTGTAATTTTTGGGAAAAAAGACAATAAGTATTTAAATAGCTGCTTAACAAAATTGTTGAACCGTAAAATAATAATTGAATGTAGAATTTCTGAAAAAATTACTTTTTTAAAAATTTACAATCAAAAATTAAAGCAATTGGAAATTTTGTCAAAAATTTTATTAAAATAAATTTTTTATTTTAAGGACATTTGAACCATTATGACGTCAGAGTTTGTGCGAATCATATAGTATAAAACTGTGACGTCATAATCACTCAAGTCCCCTTAAAAAATTTTATTTGTTTACTTTGAAAAATTATTTTTAAATATAATCGTATTTTCTTGAATTATAACTAAAAATTTGTAAAATAATTAAATTTCACAAAAATTAAAAGAAATTTATTTAAAAAAAAATTTTTTTTTAAACCAATTAATTTTAAATTAAGAAACAAAATTTCCTCTCTAAAAATGAGCCTTCTCCATTAAAAAAAAAGCAAATTTCATCACAAATTTTCAAATAAACCAAAAACCTTTTTGCAAAAATCAATTTAAAATTTCAAAAAAAAAAACAGAACAAAACTCATATATTACGGGGTTAAATATAATAAAAAAGAATTTATATATCCAAAGTTTCTCCCGTTCAGAAGCTTTTGACAGATGATAAAATGTGGAATTAAAATTTTTCAACGCCACGGTTCATAATTTTTACTCACAGACAATTTTTTCTTTTCTTTCTTTCCTTTATTTTTTTTCTTCATTTTCTTCACGACCGTTTTTATGATTGCACGATAAAATATCCATCGATAACCGGTTCGGTGTACCGCAAATATTCCTTCACAGAAAAAACGCCTTTCCCCTCTTGAAGAAATTCTTTTTTTTTTTTGCTCTAAGGGCGCGAAAAATGTTTTATAAAGATTTCACGGTTGACCCAGTGTCAAGATCGATCGAGTGTAAAATCAATTTTGAATCGGTTATAATAGGAGCGCATATAAACAAGTGTTCATCAAGCGAATCACAAGCCACATCCTGTGCCAGGATAAAACATCAACTAATAGCCCAGGACAAATCGATCTTTTCAAAAGGATGTAAATTATTAGGAAATTTAAGGAGAAAAAAACCTCAGCATTGACCGCACAATTTCTTTTTTATTATAATATAATTACATAATAATAATAATAATAATAATAATAATAATAATAATAATAATAATATTAATATTAATATTATAATTTTATTACATAAAATAATGGAAATAATAAAAAAAAGAAATAATAATAATAAAAATAGTAATAACTTTGGTGAAGTTAACGACGTTTAATAATTAATAATTTAGAAGAAAAAATATTTTTCTTGGAAAATTAATTATGAAAACACTAAAAAAAATCCAATTTTGGAGAAATTACAAATAATTGCAGAAAATCAATTATTTTCAAAAGTAATAAAATTCTTTTCATAAAATTCAATTATGTTCAAAATTAAAAAAAAAATTCGCGCCAAAATCCCAATTATCTTTGTGAATAACAAAACTTTTCCCCAAAGTTCAAATTATTTTCAAAAATGACAATAAAATTCTGGTCCTAATTTCAATTATTTTCAATATCTACTATTTTAATAAAATTTTCCGAAAAGAATTCAATTATCTAAAAAAAACATTTAATAAAATTGTACACAAACATTTTAATTATTTTCAATAAAAATTCCACAGGAATTCAATTATTTACAATTTTTGAAATAAATTTCTTCGCAATAATTCAATTATTTTTATAAATTTTTAATTATTATAAAATTTCTATTTATTATAAAATATTAATATCTTCATGTTTTATAACAATGCTTTTATAAGTTGTTTAATTTCAAAAAGGTTTGAAATTTTTGAAAATTTTAATTCCTATGAAAAAATAATAATATTTAAATATTTATTTAAAAAACAAGTTACTGATGTTTTTGAATAATTTTGCAATTAAAGAAATTCGTATATAATAAATGTTACAGAACATTTTTGTGAGTAAAATTTATTCCTTTATTTTCTAAAAATTCAAAAATTTTCATTTTCAAGTAATTGACAAATAGAATTTATAAACCTTTTTTTCCTTTATTTTTTAAAAAACTTTGAATTTGATTAAAATAATTGTAATTAAAAAAATAGAAATTATGTAAATTATTTCCTTTTGAAAATTGAAAATTTTTCTACAATAATATTAAGAAACGGGAATATGTAATGTTTTTTTCCCAAAATAATAGAATGAGTTTGTGAACAATATTGTTATTGAGAAATAAAAATTATACAAAAAATGGATATTTATTTCCTATTTCTTAATCATAATTTAACAATTTTCTATTTTTTATAAATAAAAATGAGAAAAATTTGCATAATTTTGTCAAACGAAATTTTTTATAAAAAAAGCATATAATAAACAAAATGGATATATATTTTTTTTATTTGTTAATCATCATTTTTTAAAT